GTTTACGATTGCTATGGCAATGTGACATGAGATTTGTCGAAGATTAGTGTGGGTCCCATTGTCTTGTCATTATTGTTGTAATCAGTACAACTTTATGATTAACAGTAACCAAAAACTGTTCAAAAAGGTTCAACAGGAAACACAATGCAGTAGAATCAGTTTCTCAATGGTTTTGTAAACTCCCACGTTTAACGTACACGTACGCACTCAGTAAGATGGGGAAAGGGCCCACTCAGTTTCTGAAGCAGAGAATCAGTGTTGTTTTAATGCGAGGTAATGCTGCGTGTGTTCAGGAAACGTTCTCTATCGGTAAGTGGCTGGACGAAGTGTATTGTGGGTTGAATGATGGACTGAGTAATTTTGCGTTTAACTTATGTTAATGTTACGTAAGTGGTGGGCTATAAGCAAACGGAAGTACGTGCACATAAGCAATTCATTATTTCACTTATAACTGCGTTTACATACATGTGTGACCGGGGTATATTTTCCGTACCCCTTTGCCACCACCGCCAAACTGGCAACTCTTTAGCCAGACGTGCCAGAGTGGTGGCAAACAGGACTTTGACGGAAACAACGACTTATGAGTCAATCGGGGACCTTTTGAAACCTGCGCTGCCAAAAAAGAAAACTTCAGAAATGTAGCCAGTTCTGTTACATTATTATTGCAGAAAGTTTTACTTCGGGTGCGGCAAGGAGAACAGCACTGCGGAAGCTGCTGTGTTTTATTCGTCGCACTCACATGCCCGGATACCGCAAGATCTGCTTAGAAATATTTAGCCATAACTAGTGAGATGAGGATGAGATGCAGCTTAAACTTGAGGGAAATGGCTCGGTACATGGTGTCAATAATGGGATAAATACACTGAAACTTTCGCGTTCGCGCACTCAAATCACTTTTTTGTAATACTTTATAGCATTCTAAAGCTAAATGATTTGTATACATGGTTCGAAAAACCGTTTGCGCGCGCAACATCCGGTTGCCGAGATATGGCGTACTAAAAGGGGTGAAAAGTTTAAATGCATTGTTGTGTACCAAAAGTCTGATTATTACCCGATCTTTTTGAAACTTTGCTATAAAAGACACATCGCCATAAAGTCGAAAGTGAACCAATATCAGATCCATAACATATTTTTCCGATTTTAAAATGAATTTCAAATATTTTAAAATTCATTTTGAAATTATGGGAAAATGCTATGAACCTGAAGTTTGTTCACTTTCGACTTTATGGCCATGTGTCTTTTGCAGCAGAGTTTCAAGAAGATCGGGTAATAACCAGACTTTTGTTACACAACAATGCATTTAACCATTTCGCCCATTTTAGTTCGCCTTATTTCGGCAACCGGATGTTGCGCGCGCAAACTTTTTCCAGAACAGTGTATACAAATCATTTAGCTTTAGATTGCTATAAAGTATTACAAAAAGGTGATTCCGAGTGCGCGAAAGCGAAAGTTTTAGTGTATGTATCCCATTTTCGACGCTATGTACCGGGGCATTTTCCTTAAACTTAAACTTAATACAAACAGCTTAACAGCTTTAAGTTCCGAATAACTTATACTTCACTGTATTTCTTATAAATGTGAGTGTGGAAATTTAAAGTCTCAGTCAAGCAGGCTCACGATGAATGAAAAAGCTGTTCTTGATATTACAGCAAGCTTTAACGTTTCTTCGAAATTAGCTGCTTGTCTGCTTTTACACATGGACTGTTGACAGCTGGACTGTCGAATGATAAACAAATAGACCTCTAATCAGAAATAAGGTGAAGCATAACGCTTCGTGCCGATTTCTATCCTCTGCGGGTACTGGTCTTCGCACTCGGTGTCAGAAAAAATTGGGGCGACACAATGGGACGGCATGGGCACCGTAGATACTTGAAAAATGCTCCCAGGCCAACCCGATAGTCTTTTCCAATCAGGAAGAAGATCACCTACGCATACATAAACAGTAAACCGGCATCATAGAGTAAAACCAGATTTTTTTAAAAACATTACGCACCGGTGTTCCGAGATCACCACAGCAATACAACGCCCACATCCACAACTGCAGATACGGATACCTGACATAAACGGGGTAATAATATATGGTCGAGAGGATGATATGCGGCAGGTAGCAGCTTAAATCCCACAACGATGACGCAAACAATATCTTCCCGATTAGAATACGGCGCCCTAGTTTCGACTGCACCATCCGATCGGGGACGTCCCGGTTCTCAAGTCCGGCTAGTGCATATCGAAGCTGCGAGAGCAGTAGGACCAAGTAACAAAAAATAGTTCCCGATACCGGTAAATAAACGCTCATTATTGGCCGGACCAGAAGAAGCTCCAAACTTTTCGCTGTCGTGGGACGAATTGCGCAAACATTCCATGGGGGATCTGGTACTGTTTTCCAGCCGCTGCTCACCATGATCGGTAATGAACGCGCCAGCAGTATGACCCAACCAACCAGTATCGCCGCTATGGTCGCTCGGCGTTGGTTGATAATATGATAATAATGCGGAAAAACCACGGCAAAAAGCCGGTTAATAGACAACATAAACGCCGCCCAGCGTCCGCTGCCGGAGAAGATGGTGTTAACGACGTAAACGTTGCGACAATGAATGAGGTTAGGTGTGAGAGAAGGAAAGTAGATGGGCAGAAATATAGCCGGATTCAGGATGGCCATGATGGCCAGATCAATTAGGAGCATATGGATGATCTGGATATGGGATTCCGATGGTCTGGAATGACGATGGAGTATGGCAATAATCAGGAAAATTATTAAGAGCGACGTAAGAAAGGCAATCAGGATCATGACGACAAACCATTCTGCACTAGGACTGCTGATTTCCTGTGTCCTGTACCACAAAGTTAAATTCAGCGATTTATTCATGGTGTCAAGCAGTCTGAAGCAGATACATATATTGGCGCACTGCGGTCACTGCTGTACAATCCCAAAAACGTAAATGCAAAAATAAATCCCTTATTAAATTCTTAGGTCGCGAAACGTTATACTGGACCGTTGTGACAGTAGAATTGCGCAGTGAGTGGTAGTCCTCAGAATGAATTGCGATACACGATGAGGGCTCTGTTTGTGGGAAGGGCATTTACAGTCTGTAGTTTCATGATGACGCAGCCTCGCCATGGAATTTAACTCATCTGTTTCCGGATCAGGAAGCCGTTTGCGTGCTTAACATCAACGGCTAACTTCGTTAAATCCTTTCAACACCATTCACAAATGACGTCGGTCGGTGACTGGAGAGTGCAAGAAATCTATAAGATTGGACATCTCGCTGATTAAGGTTAAAGAAGTTCGTGGAGGGCACAATATAAAAATTTATCAGATTACCGCAGTTGATGGGATTATTGCGTGGAAGAAAACATAGCGTCATGCCGTCTGCACATATCAGACCACCGACTTCCACGGCGAACTCATCGGTTTGTACTACCAACGCATGGCGCTGGCAAATCAGGCCGACCACCAAGAGAAGACTGGCAATTCATAGTAATCTCACTAAATTTTTTTTCCTTCCAGTCAAAACTGTTAAAAAAAAGAAATTGTTAAAAGAAAGAAATTGTTGTCATGGACAATTAAATACCGAAAGACCGGAAATCTTGGGGAATCAGAAATACGGATAGACATGTAATAACATCAAATGTACCGATACTGTGTCCAGCCATTCGGTACTATAATAACATTACCAAATACCTTGTGTCAGTTGTGTGGCTGTGTTTTCAGAAAATATGCAGTGTCGACTGTGTAGGCGCTTTCATTTCCGGTAAATCTGCAGGCATTCCTGACAAAAGCCTTGATTAGCCAAATGTCATCCACCACCGCATCACGTGTCCATTGTTTCCCTCTCGTAGGGGAGCGTGTACCTTGTAGCTCATGGATATTTAATTCCGCCGCGTCATATTAAAGCCCCCACGGGTAATATCGGTGTGTATAATTCTGTAAACCCTGCTATCGGCACGCACCTCTGCCGTCTCACAAAATACAACATATATTCATCATCTACCTGTCGTCGAGCCCGTTCTTGATCGTATTACTTATGTCGCAGAAAACAAGCACGCCTAGTTTTTGCTTGACACGCAAGCGGAATTAACTCCAAATCTTGGACCCGTTACACTACATTTATGAAATCAAAGAGCAAGCTAAAACGCTTTGTCGCAGTTGCGATACTGGTAAAGTTTTACTGGTTTTGAAAGGAACTGTGATGTGTTGACTAAATTCGCTGCTTTTTATTTTGTGACCAATAAATTACAGAGTAGTTCTTCTCTGAGCGCAGGCAGACGACGGTTAACGTAGTGCTTCCGAGATGGGAAAGAACAGTTATGAAACGGCAACTTAAATATGATTTTAAGTGATGCTAATTGCACCTTTTAAGTTATTCTTTAATTGGTATTACCAGGGAGTGCAAAAATGTTTGCGCTATTTGCAACCCAGTACACGTAATAGACGATATTATGTAGCCAAAAAATGACATCCGACCAGATTGTGTTACACCGTCCTAAAGCAGATTGCTTGGAAAAGACTGATTTTGCCCGACTACCACACGCATAAGAGACTTCTACAATATGTAAAGCCGTACGTTTTCGCATAATGTCGGTATCATGGTTCAGCGATTGACCCACTTGATTCAAAGCGTCTGAATTTACCAATCCAAGTTTTCAAAGCGACTGTAAACCTGCAGGCTGCTAACAGCCTGTAAACCTGCAGGCTGTTATTCTTTTTTCTTGTTTGACTTTGGACGTCTGCGACTGCGAGTCCAGGCTCACATGAGAACTATTTGTGTCTGCGCATACTAAAGAGCACGGTCAATAGCATTCCAATTTAAAGCAGTTTTAATTTCCCTCTTCATGCTGCAACCCTGGCGCGTCTGGCGCTGCCAAACGTCGCCGTTTACCCACTTTTTTTCCGGTTTATACCAGCTGCAGATAGCTATCGAGCGATTGTAACGATTACTAACTCACCGGACGCATTAAAACGCTGCCGCAAAACGCTCTGCCATTTATTAAGCGAACATTTTCAAAAGAAGCGGCATTTCCTTACAGTCTCGTTTGCTGCCAGCCTTTATTCAATGGGCCTTATGCATTTTCGGTCGTGTTTGCTGCCCATCGTTACGCTGTTCGCTGCAACGCTTGCCGGTACGTGCCTTAATACTAAAGCTTTTTCTGGTATTCAACAATAAAACTTAATATTTGAACTATAGTTTTCAATTTTAGCAAATGCGGTGACCCGGTTTCGGGCCTTCCCACCGGGAACGCCTTTCGTAAACAGCCTTCGTGATCGGATTGAAAAAAAAATTTTTGTAGCGAACGATAACGCCTTTGAATTTCGTGTTTTAATTCGCCGTATCTCTGCAACAAGACGTTGTGCGCATAAACAGCCTTTCGATCAATACGTACAGATTCATTCGGTTCTGTATAATTCATTCGGTTGTAAAATGACAAAAAAACAGCGCAAGAAATGTGATTAATAGTGCGCGGAAGCGTCAGTTCACTAAGGTGTTCACGAAATTGTTACCATTTATCGTGTCGCATGTTAGCGACGGTTATAAATTCTTTAATGCGTGATTTGTTAGTACGAAAGCAAAAGACTAGGTGCATATAAACTCCAGCAACAATCGCTATGGCTCCAATAACCATAATTGTCGCTGCAAGCCTGCAAAGCATCTGCTAACCATTGCACTGGGCTGTTTAGGAGATAGCAGTGGTACATAGTTTCCGCACAGGCGATTACATTAAATATCAGCTGATGTGTTTTTGTAGATCCGTCCAATGAATTCGAGGCCGAATGTCATCCTCCATCCGCATCAAGCGAGCCGTTGCTGCCGCCGATGAATTTCTCCTTCCGCACGGACAACCTGACGGAAACCGAATACCAGTCTTATGTTGCTGCGCGGGACAATGCCACAGCCCAGTGCTGCCCTGTCCGATTAGAGTCCTATTCCAACAGCGACCCGCACGGATCGTTCGCGAAGTCTCTGAGCCATGTCAGTGTGGTGTGTGACGGAGATGGATTGCGTTCGTCCTCGCCCGCGTCACGCGCAACGTGAACCAGATTAGTCCCAACCGCGCGGTGCTGCTCATGCTGAAAGAACGCGCCGATGCAGAAGACCCCATACATTCTGACGTCATGGGTCCGGTGCGTCAGTAATTAGTGGAGCTGGTGGTCAGCCGCTGTGTGACGCCGGGCGTTACCGCCAAGATCCACGCTGCCGGGGCCCTGGAGAACTTAATAGCGTTGAAAGTGGAAGCCTGCCGGAATTTGGTGATAGAAAAGCAGCATTTTGCCGGGATCCGGAACGTCAAGATGATCACCATGACTGCCTCCACCATCGCCGCGCTGGAAGCGTACACCTTCACTGATCTGCCGCAACTGGAAAGCCTGATGCTGGAGTATGGACTGCGTCAGGAACTGAAACAACTACAAGATGGAGATTCCAGTGAGGAGATCATGCCGGCCATATTAACCCAGGCGGACTTTGTCGTCGTTCGCCGGTTGCATTGTGACTGCTCGTTTGCCTGGTTTCGCAATTTTCTGAAGCGCAAACCCCACTTGACGTCTGCTAAACGACGGGGTGCAGTGGCGACGATCGGGAGCTATAAGACGTCTGTGATCCTCAATTATGCCGACATGCCCAGTGTTCTCAGTGTGGATTGTTCCCGTGACCTGACGTTCGATAACATCCAGGCTGGCACCCAGTTTTCGTACAACACGTCCTGCAATAATTCACCGCAGTGCTCGGTGGCATAGCCCCTATGGAACCGTAGTAATTTTTCAACTGGGACTCACCACAATCAAGGAAACATTAAAAAATAATCCGGTAAAAACCATCTGCCTATTCAATAAGTGCGAGTTATGTACGATATTACGAGTATTTAACCAATAAAAATAGGACAACAATATTATTTTGCATGATTCACATTTCACGTGGCATGAACGAGTGGTTTCCGTAACATCAATAAATTACCTGTACTGATGAAGAATAAAACTTTGTCTATTTCTATTACCGACGCGGTTTTTTTATCAAATAAATATGTGGTCTGGATCAGATTAGGCCATCATTTGCCGGTGCATACCTAGGTTTTCTCATCACAATACAGACCTATAAATACCTATGTTGTTTTACCCACAGCGTTATTTAGGCAATATTTAGTAAAAAATGTTTTCTGTTCCACCTTTTCTAATCCTACTTTTTACATACAGAAAGTGTACAATAAAATAACTACAGAGTATGTTGATTAGAGATAAAATAAAAGGTGCCGGCGGGATAAAATGATAAAAAAAGCCTTTTTGGTGAAAGCAATCGGATAGTTTAAACGGCCAGGTGCAAAGACATTAAATTTCCATAACGCTTCTTTTAAACGACAGAGTTTCGCTCTTCCTGCCAGCTGGGAAAAGGACATCGAGGAACGATCCTCCCGCTTTTGCGGTCATCAGTCGGAACATTTGTTACTTGTGCGTACGACGGAGGGACATCCGGTTCATTTCGCGACACAACTTCATGATACGCCGGTGGTTCATCCATTGCATTCGTATCCGGAGTGCATAGTTCGTCAGCGTGTCGAGGAACGGTATCCACGATATCGTTCGCTGATGCTTCGGTACCCTTCAGTGGCCCATAGGCGCCCAGGCAGTACGACACCATGGCAAAGACGAGCTCTACGAGGAGGTTAACGAGTCCCAGCAGTTTTTCTTTCGTGTCGGCCGATATCAAGTCCTTTTTGTCTGCATCTAAATTGCGCCCGTCGAGGAGGGCAGACGCAGCCATTCCGGCACTGCCGAACATCAAAACTGTGTAGATGGTAAAGAATTTCAATCCGCGCATGGTACTGAAGAAGCGTGTTGGCGTTGGGGACGGCGGTGATGGCTTGGTCGTTGCTGCCAGTCCGAGAAGTCCGATTACGTTGTAGAGGATCATCCATGCCGCGGTAATCGTCCCAGAAACGAAGGTTTCGCCAGTGGTAGCCCGGTCTAGAAAAGTATCAACAGCAATAGCCAGTTAGTTTAGCGAGAATCAGTACGGACCTGTATACTAATATTCACTGGTAGTGCTTGTGGTCACTCGTCCTTTTCCTTTCCTTATTAAAGCAAGACCTTGCACCAAAACCCCAGCAAAATCATATTCATGCGTTATTACTTTCAGAAAACTAAAACGTCAGCTTCACGCGAAAAATTTCTGCTTCGCATTTCTATAAGGCTGTTTATATGGAGTTACTTACAGTATACGCAGGCCCCTACCCCAGCCCTCACGGGGATGCCAGGGCAGTCCCCTAAGGGTTGCGGGGGGTGTAATACCGTAAAACCCGATATTTTCGCCCCCCCCCCCAAATTAACGCCCATGCGGTTTTAAACGCCCTCTCCCAAAGCTCTCGAAAAAATAGAAGCCCAATGCGTTAATATCGGGTTTTACGGTAATATGTTTCTGGGTTCGACTATTGTCACCCCCTCGCACCCCCTTTTGACTATTGTCACGGCCCCTTTTTTAAATAAAGTGAACGCACCCTTTGACTATTGTCACCCCTTACAACATGCCCTTTTGGCTATTGCCACCACCTTTCAATTATTTTTGTAATTTTTCCACCAGCGGTTCTTTTCCAACTCTATTCCTGCCACCACCGGCAGGCCTGTGGAAAGGCGCCAAGCGAAGCTTATTGACGCTTAATACATCGCTAAGATGCGGCCTGATTTTTTAAAAATTAAACTTAACATCTTCAGGGTTTCTTCACTTTTTTGCTGATGAGTTCCGCAACGAATGCGATCGCAAAAGTCCACAATGATGACCATCCCTTTGATGCTGCACTCTCCACGTACGGAAAGAAAATATCGACGTGTCCTCGCTTCCGGTTGATCTTAACACTTTCTTAATCATTGGTGCCGAAGCCGGTGGTACAGAGTCATAAACAAACGGCTGCCCCTCTATCCGCGCTCACAGCACTAAGTGGTCGCTGGCACCTCTTTGTACCTTTCCGGTAGTTTACAATCTTACTTAATTGGCTGAAAGGCCAAGCTAGCAACAATGCATTTTTTATAAGAAATGGCCAAGGAGTGGCGATAGTCAAAGGGGGTGAGAAAGGTGGTGACTATAGCCTAAGGGTGTGTTCACTTTTTTTACAAAAGGGGTGACAATAGTCAAAACGGGGTGCAAAGGGGTGACAAAAGTCAAAAGGGGGTGCAGGGGGGTGACAACAGCCATTTCCTATATTTCTCCTATTATATTCTCTGATTACTCAGAAGAGTAGTACTTAAGTTCTTGAACTCGTACTTACCGTTAATACTACCCAGGATCATCCACGGCAGCGCAAATAATCCCCACGGCAGCTTGATAAAAGCCTGGATCGCCGTCCAATCGTAATAATCCTTCATACACTCCGCACACACACTCTCTTCCTCATCATAACGTTGCAAACAGCAAACAACGGCGGTCGGCAGGCGCCCTTTCTTCAGTGAAATGACGGTGAATATAATCAACACGACGTTCAGAATGAGAAAGCCATACGCCACGCCCGCCAAGTGCAGCATCGGTGTGAGTCCACTTTGCAGAGCGATCTGCAGAATGGCCCCCAGTGCAAACAGCACGCTGATGGCCATGCAGATCAAGTAGGCGCGAGCTAGCCAGAGCCACGGGGCCCGGTGACGGCCAGTCTGCTCCAGGTCTTCGGTGTGCTTTCCATTGTAGCAGCAACCGACAACCAATCCAGCAAAATTATACAGGACGGTCCACATGTAGAAGGCGTATCCCATTGCCAGATGGCTGTGCACTGTGTTGGCTGCAAAATATTACAGCAAACTTCCGTGTTCCATGACGCCTAAACCGCACTAATAGCTTGGCTTTAAAGGCTGTATCGTCAGGGTTGACGCTTACCGTACTGATATTAGTACTTCTATTAGTAATTTCGTTGATTTATAGCTGCTGCCGTTCAGAGCGGAATTTACGTAATTCTTGAATTTAGAATACCTACCTACTGTATAGACAACGTACGAGTACATTAAAATTACGTAGTTAGTACGTTAAAGCTCTGTACGTTAATATTATCCCTGAAATTCTGAGTTGCCGTTTGGTCAGCATATAAACGCTTGGATACCAGAGTAAGTTTTCTTGCGACGCAGACATACAGACAGTGACTGATTGTTTGTCATACTGAGACGATCTAAAAATATTTTTCTTGAATCTTGAAGAAATTCCGGGGAACCAATGCATACTAGACAAAAGGCAGTTGCGGAAATGCTAAAAATCAATGCGACATCTATCGTACGCGTTGCGCATCCATGTCTTATCTATAGAGTGAAGCCCCGTGAACTGAAGAGGTTTTTGACAAATTACTCGTACAAACAAAATAAATTTTTTTTCCAAAGCTTTAAATGCCATGCAAACATGCAGGTGACGTCCTAAAGAATTTCAACTTCAACCGTTACTTTAAAAACGTTTTTTTCAAATGAACGCAGCCGTTGTTATCGGTCCGCCATGATTTCATCACAGAACTTCAAAGTTTGTTCGAATAGTTAACATCAGCTGGAAAAAAGTGGCTTTCAGAAAAGACATCCACTGATTATTAATTCCTCGTATCTTTGCAAAAAAGGGTAAATTAGATTTCTTCTTAACTAAGGCATTGTGGCGCAAGCAGGCTACAGATTTGTATTTCTACCCCAGATTATAAAAGGTCGTGGACGAAAAGCTACTCTGCAGGAGGGCAGGCACGAACCTTGCGGAAGAAATATGGGTACCCAAGCTGGAATCGACATTGCCGCGCAAAGCAACTGCAGCATGGAGAAATAGCATACTAAAGCATAGTACATCGAATGCCATGGCACGATCTTGTCGCTGATTTGGTCTGATAAGACCATGGCTAATGCAGTAGGCTAAGTTGTAGAAGAAATCGTAGCACAGAGTATAGCTGAATAATCCTGCGTATTTTCGCGGGATATCGCAGTACACGAAGGACGGAAGAATACAAACTAACAACTTCTATCGTCTCATACAATGTGGTAATAGAAAGAGCACCAGAAGCCAGAGCAGTCACCAAATTTCTATTGCAATCCAGTTTGTCAGAACTGCCAGCACTGAACGTTTGTTCAATAAAAGTAGAGTACGAGTACAGCAGACTGTTGGTCCGTGAGAATCGGGCAGTGCAGTGACGGAAACGTTGCTCAGTGTAAGGGCTAAGAGTTAGAGGGAGCGTATGAGTTACGCAACAAGTTCAAAGAATCGTACGAAATGCGTCAATAATCTAATCCTGACGTCGAGCCATGGTACGAGTAATATGGTGAATATGAGCAAGTATTGATTTTTCCGGTATGGGCCCGCGATACAAGGGGTATACCAGCAGAGCTAGGCTCTAGCTGACTCATAACAAGATGTAATTATTAATTATGATGCGTGATTATGGAAATATTAATGAGTCGTCTTCAGTCCTGGACAAACATTAAATTTTGACATTTCAAAACTAATTTTTCATTATTTAAAACTAGCTCCGTAGACTTTTGTTGATTTGGGTCAACCAAATATCAGTGTTCAATAGATTTCTGTTCATGTAAGGCGGCAGACTACATACACAGAATAGACATACGTGTATCTATATCTATACACATATGACAGATCTATCTATCTGCATACATATCTACAGGCATAGTTTACATACAAAGTAGTGAGTACGTAGTGGTTTACCTTTAACGAAGACAAAGGTCCTTGTTATACGAATTTGGTACTTTGAACCAGGACAATTTTGGTAACAACTAAGGACTCTGCGCTAATTGTTTTTGTGTAACTTTAACAGAGGTGGCACTGCGGTACTTTTATGGGTGGATTCAAACGTTCAAACGTTGCCTGTGAAGAAAATTTAACCAACAAGTTACAGTCAAAAAACCCAAAATTACTTAAAAACTGTTTACTTCGGTGGTGATTAAGCATTTCTGACAGTTTTCAGAAGACACAACTTGGTAGTTTTGCGGCTGAATCTTGTATTGTTACATGAGCTTCGTAAGCGTCGTGGCATCTCGAATAATTTCCATGTTAGGATATCCAGTTATTAATGCTACCCAGGATGCATTCAGACAACTCTCATTTCGTGCAAAAAGGTTGGTGGTTAACTTTCGCATATGCTGGAAAAATTCGTTTATGTGTAATTGTCAAAAGGACGTGGCAACACGTATCACATGTGCCGCAGGCTTATCCGTACAGTAAAACCTGGTAACTAAATACACCGACGGTTCCGCAAATCTCGTATTTATTATCCAGGTGTATTTAATTTACAGAACTGCCCCCAGGGGTAGTAAAAATTTTCGCCCCCCTCCCCAGTTAATACATAGCACAACTATTACATAATATGTGCTGTATGTTAACTTATTGAAGTGCTTCAGTAAAGTAACATTAGAACATGCACTGTGCACTTCGCTTACAATTGAACAAAAATTACAGTTTAACAAAAAAACAATCTAGCGTTTGTTGCTTTGCTTTCGCTGCATTAGCCAGCCTTTTCTCCAAAGTCAAATCATTGCGCTTTCGTTTGTCCACGATGGTTAATTTTTTACGGTATTAAACTCAAAGACTGGCAACACACTGTTTTTCATCTGCTTGACGTAGCCAAGTTCTGCATGGCGCATGCCACTCACAACTGATTTTAAGTTTTTAACGCGGATGTTTCGTTGTATTTTGTTTGTCTTGGCAGACTGTATGTAGCCAGCAGGTTCTTACATATGGGTATTTCACATCCGGTTAAGACCAAAAGTGTATGTAAGCCTATTATACAGGTGTATGCACTGTACAGGATCCCCCCTATGTTATAGTCTACGGGATGCGCCGGTTCCGGTTTCAGCGTATTTACTTTCCAGGTGTATTTGTTTACCAGGTGTATGTAGAGACAGGTTTCACTGTAGTTATATTCAAGCAAACAGCGAACCTTATATTAAAGCATTAACTTCTGCTCGTACCTAAAAATATATCCGTAAATAACCAATTTTAGAAACTTTTTAATTTAGGAGCGGTAGTATGTGTTACAGCACTTGTGCTTAAACTATGCCGGTGCTCGACAACTGGAAACGTCCACAGCTGGTAGAATGGCGGTAAATCAGAAACAAGCAGCCAGGGAGAAAGGCTTACGGTATGTAGTCATTTTATTTTTGTTTTGCCATGCTAATTAAACAGTGCATACTTTATACAACGTTCTTGAAGTATACTAAGAAAACAAAAAATATACATCTAAGCTCGAAAAAAGGCCATACTGAGGGCTGCGCTCGGTTTCTAAATGAACCCATCGGTTCATTTTCTAGTTATCCAATTTCTACCACAATTGGTGGCGATACAGATCCGCTAACATTATGCTTATGAGCTAAAGAACACACAACACAGTTTCAAGCGAATCTGCTCTGAAAAGATAATTCTTGGAAAGGCAAAAAGAGGGAACCCGGCTGAAACCGGGATGTGGTCGTCTGCATAACTTCCGCATACGAAGGGGGATGCTCCGCTTCCCGTCGTAACGTGACGGCTTCGTAGGCCGGCGGCAGATACCACTGATACGCGGGCGCTTCACCGAGCCCACTTTCGACAGGTGGCAAACAACTTTTCAGGGCCTGGATAGGAGAAATGTCGGCGTCGGCTACGGTTTCCGCATTGAGAGAATTGAGAGAATCAGTGGCTTCGGTTTCCGATGCTGGTTTAGTACATAACCACAACACAAGCCCGGGTATGGCCAGCAACATCTGCAAGCCCAGGTAGAGTCCTTCGTCGACAATCGTCCATTTGTTTTTGGGGTGGCCAGCCGGCTCGTCTATGGTTGCTTCAATAAGCACGCCTACACTGAGCAAAGCGCTCGCCAGCGTGCAGCCCAGGTACGTTCTGATGAATTTCCGCTCCTGCTTTGAGTAAGTCAGCTGGGAAGGTTGACGCGAGGATGATGTTGGGGTGGCAGGTTTTTCTCCGTGAAATAAACCGGATAGTCCCAAAATGCAGGTCAAAATTTTAAACACCGGGGCAACCATTCCAACATACAGGGTTGTCCGAGTTTCCCGGAGAACTATGAAATGATTATCACTGATTACCCATGGGCCATTATAACGTTTATCACGTGGAAGCAAAAGTGTAACATGTTTGAAATTTAACAGGCAAACAATTTCCAATATCGTGGTAAATCTGCATAAACCTTTCCTTCTTACACACCAACAATGTCAAAGTGCATACAGAGCATGTATTATTAACGCTTCCATACCTTCGATACGGTTAGGAATGGTGAACGGCAATGGTAGTAGAACAAATAGCAGTTGAATGGCGCAGGACAAAACGACCCAAATGTAAACTTTGTTGGCCTTCGTATTTCCGGGACTGGTGCCCGTCCCGACGCACCATTCGGTAAAAGTGTGCGGAACACGGCCCCGTTTTCGGGTTACCTCGATAAACAGCAAGCAAGGTACTGCCGCCGCGAGATTCATATCGCCAATCATGATCAGTACAGCCGACTTTTCTTTGCCGCTCTGGAGAATACCTTCGATAATGGCGCCCAGCGCAAGAAACACGCTTAGGATCAAGCCAGAATCGAGGGTTTTAAAGGACTTCAAACCCGCTGTTTCATGGATGGACCGGGAATTAGGATCCCATACGCGAAGGGTTTTCCTTAGGAATACTTTCTTCCAGATCAGACCGTACAGCAATCCACCGGTATTAAGGAGAACCGTCCATGTAATGAGGATGTGTCCCATTGTAAAGTCGCCTGGTAAATCTAAGCGTAAAAGTGAAAAAGAATTTGCGCTGCAAGCAATACTATCTAGCGGAAACGCAATATTGTCTTAAACCAATCCGTAATGCCTACCGTTATCTTTAGTGTTACAAATATTCTGCAACTTAAAACCATTATGCTCGCGTCACGCGTGCACAAACGCACGGGCACCCGTTGTACAGGGAACACAAGCGTCAACCGACGCATACGCTTACGTACTTTTAGAAATAATGGACAAGCACTCTGCTAATAAGCCGACTACAAGATTCGCCAGTGAGAAGTTCAGTGTCAAAGAATAGTAGGTGCGCTTGAAATCGTTTCGAGGATTTTGTACAGTTAGAGGATGTTCCCGCACGGGAGAGGCGGTGATGGACACGGATCTCAAGGTGCTGGCTATGGAAGACGACCTCCCGGCAACTGGCTCTTGTATGGGCAAATCAGATGGAGTCCACAACTCCGCGTGATACTGGCACGCAGGGAAAATCATGATTAAGATCGCAATTTAACTGCCGGTGATCCTCGACATTTAATGATCTCCTAGGGACGTCAGGCAGTTGGTGGCACCAGAGCAGTAATAAAACGAGCGGCTGACGCTACTCGCTGTTATACATGCGACATACTTCAGGTCTGTGCCCAACGTACTATTTAAACATGTCGGACCTTGCGCTACTGAAAACCGTACGATCGTTCACCTGCTTAATAATAATAATAGTCTCACAAAAATAATGGTTTCAAAAGGCTCTTCACACAGGGTTGGCGATATAAAGCTACCTACTGTTCCTTGATAAGGACGCTTACAAGGCTAATCCTTGAGATAATATAGCCTCGGAAAAATGATATTATACTGAATGTTCCCGGTACTTTGTTGTCAGTCGCATTGAGAGAAACGGGGAGTAACGCGAAAGAGGATTATGCCTATGGCACATACATAGCTACAAATGTCAACTGTAGGAAAATAGTCTACATTCCGAATGTGTTTATCCCCAGATAAAATCGATAATCCGGCCACATGGCATGTCCATAGATGGTGTTTTGATGCGAAATGAAGACCTGTTACGTACATACTGTAGATGCGCAGTTCACGGATCCGGCTGAACGAGAGAGTGCATCCCTGATTCTTGCTTACCATCGTTACGCTGTTCGCTGCAGCGTCTGCCGGTACGTGTCATTGTTACCAAAGCATTTTTGCTAATCACCACTAAACTTAAAGGTTCAAATTATAATTTTAAATTTTAGGAAATGCTACGTATAACCCG